GTCTGTATGGATGCATACAATGGTATGAAATGAAAAAGTTTGGACTGATGTGATAGTACAGTATATGGCTATGGCTATGACAGTGGAATCACTGGAACTGTAGTGTATTGTATCAACTGTGGCACTGGTAGAGGACATTGAGAAGCGTCAGCTGTTGTGCTTAGAAAGCAGTATAAGAAGACAAGAAGACAGTTGTACTCTAGTGTTGAATATATATTGGAGACACTTATACAGTAGGAAAGTATTGGTAAGAAGACTACTATAACTCAGGGAATTGGATGAAAAAATGCCGGGGCTGGTGATGGAAGTGCTGAGTTCTCACTTTTGTTTGTCTCGTATGGAAATGAATGACAAAAGAATAGACGAATACTAGAATTGAGATGTGATTGGACTGTATTGAAGAATATGTGAGATTTGGTTATTAGGATTCAGAATATTCTATTGCAGACGATATGAATCCAAAGCAAATCCCCGTTTGTGTTGAGTTGCATGAGATGTGCGGCCTATGGCTATGATTTGTGAAACAAAACAAGTTATGCAGTATTGGCATAAATATATAAATGTATGAAATGTATGTCATTATACGTGAGAGTATAGAAAGCCTATAATATATGGCTGAAGCAATCTTTCATGCGTTACATTCTCTCCCAATCTCTCTCTGAGAGAGAATACAACACAACACTAGAGTAGAGAAGAGTAGAGAAGAGTAGGGAAGTGAAGAGTAGAGAAGAGAATGTATTTAAGTTTTGTCTGAACTCTCTAACAGTTCATCCTATCTCTCACTGCATGCAAATCCGTTATCAACAAAGATTCGCATTAAAAGCATTAGATGTACACAAAGTACAGAAAGTAAAGGAACCTAAAAAAGGGCAAAACAGAGAGAGAGAGCTTGTATTTTAACGAGCAAATAATTTGACAGCTTCATAGCTTTATATATCCATCAAAATCGATATCAAAGCATATTTTATAGAATAATAGGTATTTTCATCAGAATTTTAATCTTTTTGTTTTTCAAAAACTTGTGTTTATTTTGTATATAATTTAAATTTTCTAAATTTTCACTTTCGTTAAATAAAAATTATTTAAAAATTATATTAAATACAGTATAACTTTAATTTCGTATTTATTAGAAAATCTTTTTAAATGTGCTTAATTTATTGTAGAGAACTTTGTGTTTATATATATTATTCTATAACTTGTTCAGTTTATAAAAATTTATTTATAAGTATTTGAAAACTTCAATAAATCTATATATTTTCATATATTTAGAACTATTTTAATATACTGTATTAACAAATAAAAAAGTTCTCAAATTTTGAACTCTAAAATAAAAGTACGGCAAACCGAAGTATCCATGGTGATTTATTGTGTGATAATTGTTATATGCATTCAAATGCTAACTTTGGAAAGTTTGTAATGAAATAGAAATAATACAAATTTGAATGTGAGAAGAGAGAAAAGTGTATAAAAATGAATGAAGAGTGAGATATGAAATTATAATAATCGTTAGAAATGGAAAAGTTTTGATTCATATGTAAACTGTTGTGATGTGTCAAAGAGAGACAGGTTTTGCACTAAAAGCAAATGCTTGGCGTAAGGCATATGAAGGCATTTGAAGGCATATGAGAGCATATGATAGCTTCGCAATGGTTGTGATGGTTGTGATAGAAGTGATGTTAGCGTTGGGTTCTCCGAAACTCTGCGTGAGAGCTGTCTTTACATTTTCATCAATCATTTCTCACTCCAAGTATTACACATTTAATTAAAACAATACTGAAATGCATTCGACTTTACTTTGCTTTAAATACTGTAAGTGATTCAGTGCTCAGCCATTGCCTCCACAACTGGTGAGTGCTATCAGAGCACTGAGAGTGAAGTGAGTCCTCAGCTATGGTTATAACCATAGCCTATAGATATTCTCCATTTAGTTGTGCACTAAATTGGAAACAAACTAAGTTTTTATTGAACAAATGCTTCAATACAAGCATATAATTGAATTTCATCAGAATTAAGAGGTCATTGCAATCCATCAAATGTCATGTCCAGCCACTAAACCCTCCACTACTCTACTGCACCACTACTCCAAACACACAACAAATAATAACCAAAAATACAATTCTTTCACTCAAACTTATATATTGATATATATATACAATATATATACAGTATATTCACTCAAATCAGGTCCTCTCTCTTCAGATCTCCAATTCGTCTCCAAATGGCTTACATTAAGACAATTCACAGAATTTATCGCATATATACACACAGACAGAGACAATATTAAACCGTTTAAACCGTACAATAAGTGCATTAAAATGAATACAAATTTAAGACAGAGGGGGAGAGAGAAAGTCTTAAAACGCCGACTCTTTTCATATTTATATAATTAATTGTTTCCATTATATGAGAAATATGTGTCGTTTCACACATTCAAATGCCATCGCTTGAATTAGAGGTCAGGCATTGATTTACATACATTTTTCTTATGTATAATGTTTTTGTAAATATTTAGCCGCCGATTTACTTACTTGTTATCAATTTTAATTGAATAATGTTTTAATAAAATGTAATATTAATAGGCCATAAATGGTTGGAAGTCATGTCATTTTAGAGTATTTGTTGTTTAAGAGGCAAATCGTGACATTAAACGAGATTGAATGGACCGCTTGTGACACCTGAACCTCAAATAAGACTAATGATCAGTCATTTATCAAATAAAGTGCAGAAAGAAAAATCATGTTTTCATTGCATCTAAAGTGATGTCATAAATATATAATACATTATTTACTAAATGAATGATGAATTTAGTCAATGCTTACTAATTTCTGGTTTCCATTCATTAGTACTGTATTTATAATTATAATAAAGTTGTGATTGTTATCACACACAACAAACTTATCTATTATCTATTTACAAATGTTTTATCGATTCAAAAATAAATACTTTTATATTTGTTTTAGCGATTTAATTATAAATTAATTGATAGATAATTATCGTATCTAATCTAGTTAATTATAGTTTAGTATGATAAATAAATGTGTTCAGAGAAAATTATGTCATCATAAAATTCTACAAATTTATCGACAATTATCAAAAATAAAAATACTGTCAAAATAGAGTATTATTCATATATTTTTCAAATAAAATAAAATTTTGTTAGAAGTATTTGATATTGTGGTTTTTAAAATTGAATTGCCTTTACTACTGTTAATATGGAAATGAATGTAAAGTTTGTTTAGCGGCAAAATGAGTTATTGTTGTGATTGTAGTGATTGAATGTATTATATTAATGCGAATCCAATAAATAGTATATTACTGTAGTGTTTAGTAGTGATCCAAGAAATATACTCTCCTTTTACTCAACTTTTTTCACTCAATCCATACAACTGTAAGAGCACTGAAATAAAGATAGACTTACTTTAATGTATTGTAGTGTTGACTGTGAGCTGTACTCACTTTTGTGAAAACCCTCTGGAGTATAGGGGATGGGATGACAGGCAAAAAGCATCACATATTCTGGTTACAGATAATGCTCCGCTTTTATAACAGTATTAATATTTTGAAAGAGAGAGAGAGAGAGAGAGAGAGAGAGAGATTATTTTAAAAATTAAAACTCATTATTATTATTATTCATTAATCGTTATTATCTATTATAATATTTATATATTTGTTGTTTTATACAGAGATTATATATCTTTAAATATATTCAACTCTACAAAAAATTGTTTTAAAATTAGTGCTATTAATGTATTAATACAATCAATGAATAATTGATGAAATGAATGCTTATCTCCAAATGGTATGTATTATCTAACAGGTAATCAATTAAGTGAAGAATTGATGAGAATTAATATAATTGTTAAAAAGGTTTCTCTTTTCTATTTACAGATTGCATTTGGATTGAAGTGATGGACAAACTCTATTGTCTTTGTTTTTGTATTTTTGATAGCATTTATAGCTTTTTTGATAAATTATTTACAAACGTTTTGTTCAAATCACAGATTTTCTTGTTGACATGTTTTAAACGGAATTTTGTTTAATTGCACATAAAATCGCTTCCAATGTATTAATAATTTTTATTTAATTATTAATAAAATGGTTTGTTTTCATAACTGTTTGTAATTAAGTTATGAATGTAATGCAAATTTCTATGCAATATGTAATAGTCGTGTGGAATACATTGCCTTTTGGTTCAATAGAAAGTGATCACAGCTTTGAAATTATATAAAAGTATAAGTGCTTAACATTACTTTATTGCCCTTTGATGTCAGTTTATAGACTCAAAACTATGTCATGAATTTATATTAAAAGAAAAATTGTGTGAAAATTTGTGATCTCTATATAAATTATGAGACATTTTATATTATATATACTTTATATATATATTATATATACTTTATATGAGGGATCAGTTTGTTATATGAGTCGGAAAAGTAGAAAAACGAATGAATGGTTTGGCGATGGCATGAGAGCCGTTGCATCACAGCATCACTAACAGCACCGACACAACAAAAAATACACTACTCTTCACATGCAAGAGATGGTGAGATGGATGGGCTATAGTTAGGATGGGATGTGCACTACCATACAGTACATGCATTTCACTGTTCTCTAACTGTACTAATAGTAAAAACACTGTAATCTAATGCGAGTCTCAAGTCTAAGTCTTAAGAGACTCCAGAAAATCACAAACTATTCTCGTTTGACGTTCAATAATATTAATGGCACCGACACTACCGATACTGCCATACACTCGAAATAGCTCTCAAACCTGGCCTAAAGTCGTGTTTAACAAAAAAGGCAACAGTTTTTGCATTTTATATATTTTACTAACATATTGAAAATAAAAGAATAAAATTAACAATAATTCGGTTTCAATTAAATATTAGCACTAATATAGTAACTCATGAGTTGTCTCTAAACAATAATATAGCTATAAATGAAGTCTAGTTTACACGAAATGTTTGAATCATTGGATGATGTGATTGGAAATGAAGTCTTTAGCTGAGCTGATAATATTCAGGTGAAGTGAATTCATTGGCAATGTTTATGAAATTAAACTCATTATTCGTACAGTTGTTGTAAACGTCATAATAGTTGCTATTATTGTAATTACTATAAGCGTTGGCCGATAAGTCTGTACTGTTATTGCTGTTTGAATTGCAATACGTCTGATCATATGTGTTGGGAATGTTGGGCGAGACGGCCACTGCCATCCCGGTGCCAGCTGTACCCGCGCTGTGCATATCGTAGTACTGGTGCTGATGGGAGCTGTTAGTCTGCGATTGGGACGTGTATTGTTGGGGCTGTTGTTTCAGAGCTATTGCATTGTATTCGCTGGGAATGCGGTGCGAGTTGTGATCACTGGAGTTGGTCTCCACTTCATAATAAGCAGCGTTCGTAGGGTTGGTATTGGTATTGGTATAGGTATTGGTAGTGGTGTTGGCTTGAGGTCTACCGCTGTTCTCACTTCCATACGACTCTTGGTCCGTATGGCTCACTATGTTTGCATAGTTTGCATAATTTGTATGATTTGAATGGTTTGTATGGTTTGTATGACTTGCATAGGCTATTCCATTGGAGAGATACTGTTGTTGCGGTTGTGGTTGTTGTGCATTATCTATGAATGTACTCTCATATGGCTGTCTTTGGGGGTATGTCTGCGGTTCACTCCTCACTCCAGAATAATCACAATTATAATCAGCAGTGAAATAATGAGGCCTTTGGTGTAGTTGTGAGGACTGTTGTTGTGGTTGAGCGCTATATAATGAACCGTTGGGTCCACACGAGAAGAACTTTGTTGTCGCCAAAGGTTCCGGTGTTGAGGCAGATGTGGTCTCCTGTGAAGTGCGAGTATTGGCCGTAAAGTTATCCGATGGCGGCGTTCGGTAACCAAAGTTTGTTGTCTGAGAAACTGATGCATTGGATGGCGGCGAGCGGGAAGAGCTCTGAGACGAGAATTGTGTGGAATATCGCTGTCGTCTTCCGTATGAGAATGTGGTCGACGGTGAAGATGAACACGTATTGAAGCACCGGTTGTAGAAGTTTTGGCTGTTTGGCGGGTGCTGTCCGTGCAGTGGTTGTTGTGCTGTTAAATGTGCCGAAGAAGTACTGACCACTGGATTCAGACTGTTTTGGTTTGAATGGCACTCTATTTTGTTTAATGTATTCAATGGTTGTCTCGTATTTGGAGTCCAGTTCCTCACTTTAGTCACATGTATTGGCGCACAAACCAAGTGTTCACTCGGACTTTGATGTCCTTTTGGACTAATTGTGACACTCGAAGGCGAACTCAAAGCATTTCTAGTAGTGGTCGGAGAACTACTTACTGAAGACAACGCCGAATGGAGTAAATGAGAGGAATTAGACACTGATATCTTAATGTCTTCGCAATGGGGAGACATGACTGATGGCGAGCCAACTCCCGAAGTCGTGATATTAGTTCGATTAGAGATGGATTCACCGCAGCATTGGTTCCCATCAATCAGTGAATGTGGCGTTAATTTCGATGTCTTTTCCAAAGAGATTTCTTCTCTAGAACTCTGCGAATGATTGCTATCATTAGGACTGAGGACCGACTTATCTAAGTCGAGGCCCGTATCGGATCCACTGGCGTGCCCTCCCTCTCCACTGCCGCCATCCATATCCATACTGTCCTCATCATTGCTACACGACCCGCTCTTTGCTCCCTTTTCGTCCCCATTCTTACTAACCAATGACTGTCTCTTGTGTTTCATTCTTTTGTGTCAAAAGTTTTAATTTTATTAAATTTATAAATAATAATAAATATAATCAAAAATACCGGCGATTCTGGAACCAGACTTTCACTTGTCTTTCACTCAATTCAAGTGTAGCCGCGATTTCTATTCTTCGGGGTCGACACAAATATTTATTGAAATGAAACTCCTTTTCCAGTTCCAGGAGCTGGTTGTTAGTATAGGCCGTTCGCAGTCTTCGAGGCATCCCATTCTCTCCTACTAATCATTGCAAATACTTTTTAATAAATGAATCATAAAAATGGAAATTAGCCCCAAATTAGCCCAAATGACCCCAAGAATAGTTATAAATTATATGTTTAAACAACTCTTCACTCATTGTTTCATTATTTATATTTAATACTCATATAACTGTCAAAAATATTTACTTTCATAATTTATTCATTGTGTATCTATAATATTTAGTAGAAAACACGTCAAAACAGAATCTATTAAAATGCTTTCGGACTCAAACTTTTTTCTACTAAAAACGATACATCAGAAGTCAATAAGTTTCCACTCGAGTCGCAATTCTTAAAATTTCAACATTTTTTTAAATTTAAAGGTTTATAGCTTAATTGGGTGCAATGTAAATTATTTATATAAATATTAGAATTTTTAATACTTATAAAAATTATGTAAAATTTGAAACAACAGAAATCAGATTTGTGTCATACATGTAATCAATTATTATGACATGCATTTAGATGAAGAGTTGAATTGTTATATTAGGTATACAATAGATTGTTACAATGACACGGGTAGTGTTAGTAGTTTGTCATAATCGACATTTTAACATAAATTCATCATTGAAATATAGTCTTTGTTTATGGAAATGTCTTCATTAAATTAGTTTTTGCGTTAAATATAAAATAATTGAATTGAATCAATATAATGACGATATAGAGATGTATAGAGATGTGGATTTTGAGAAAACTCTATCAGTCCTGTTGTGCGAACATCTAAATGACAGCTCAACTCAACTTCTTGCACATGCATGTCATAAATCATCGATTATATTAATGGTGTGACCTGTCCTACTTTCCAACTGTCCATCTAATCAGTCAAAATGTTTTTTATGTTAAACTAAACCTAATATTTTAAATTGTATATTAATGAAGTCATTTATGATTAGTTTCGTTGAGTGTAAATCAAATATCTAAACATTTGTAAGAATGTACAAAATCCTATTGACACAGTGTTTAAATGGTAAGTTAGAAAAAGTGATTTCTAGAATTTTGCTGTTCATTTCAAAATCATTAAATATTTATAGAATAAATTGTCAGTATTATATCTACTATTAATACACTTGTAATTTGAAAACAATATAATGGTATAATGTTAGAAATTTCATTGAAAAGTGAATCAATTGGTTGTTTTTAAATGCAAACAAATAAACAAAGTAATACACAGTACTTGACAATTCGTATAAGTATAATATTCGTATAAGTTTTATGATATAATATTTATTCACATGTATTGACAACTAATATTCAGTAAACTTATAATACAATATACAGTAACTTACTAAAGATTAAACTAAATTGATTAAACATCCTAAATAATCAAAAATATCAACTGGATAAATGTTTGCAAACATAATTCTATAAAATTTGAAACATTTTGAAATATATTGAGTTATGAAATTTAACTTACTAAAGATTAAACTAAATTGATTAAACATCCTAAATAATCAAAAATATCAACTGGATAAATGTTTGCAAACATAATTCTATAAAATTTGAAACATTTTGAAATATATTGAGTTATGAAATGTGCATATAAATATTATGAAATGTTGATATTATGGCTTAAAACAATTCATTGAACCACCAATAAAAATAAAATGGTTTGAATAGATATTTTAGCGATTTGCTAATCAATTAACACTTTCTCGGATTCAAGTAACTATGCTTTGATTAAATGAATGTTCCCATGAATACAAGTGTTACAACCTATAAAACATCTTTTATAACTTAATAAATGATTATCTATGAATATGGTATATGATCATATTAACGCTAATATATTAATATTTGATATGATTTGCATTAATTGAAGCAAAATATAGAAGTCAAATGTGGTATAAATGTATGAATGGATTCCAAAAATAGACAAATTTGAAGGCATAAAATCAAATTAACCGAAAAGCATTCGGGGCTTAAGCCTACAAAAGAGGCCAAAATTCTCAAGTCTTATGGGATTAAAGAGAAGGCT